CTAGTAATATATTTACTGAGAAAAATGGTGACGTGTTCAATACTTATTTTACCCGCTGTATTTGAGTTAGTGTTTTAGGGATAGTGGAACAAATTTTTAGATTAGTGCTGCTTACCACTGCTGGTATTAGTATCAGGCCAGCTCCCAACATTTTTACAAATTCGCATACACAATACCCCAATACTTGGGACAGATACCAGTACTAGTATCAATATTTCATTGAACATGTTACAGTTTACATTTCAAGGGCAATTTTTGTCTGTTTCCTGTTTGAAGGGTGGGGTGTGGGTATAATGCAAAATTGACTTTTTCGAGCTTTATATGTTGTCATATTTAAGTTCTGTATTCAGTATCGGTACTCTGCATTGATGAGTAGTACTCGTACTTGTACTCAGTTTGAGAAAAACTAGTATTGGGACACCCCTAGTCTGCTCACCTTCCTTGTTATAAAAAATCTAAAGCAGAGCACTGCCACTGAAACACAGCCCCACTTCTACTGTAAATAGTTTTCTGTGTCGTTCCTTTCATTACCTACCATCATAGAAAGTTGTTGATGGTGTATTTCGTTGTTGCCTTTGTCTGTGTGTGCATGGACTCACAGACGGCCAATTTCGCTGACTGTCAGCAAAATATCTCCTGAACAGCTGGACGACTGTTAATGACCCGTGTGTCCTTTCGTCTCAGCCGTAGCTGTGCGCGTGTTTATTAGGTTTAACTCTGATGTTTGGTAATAATGAAAGCGAAGCAGCATTGGTGTGTAATTGCTGGAGTGTGGAACCTCTCATACAGATAAAAAGCAGAGTGTCATCCAGATGAATTATGGGCCAACAGCAGTAATTGGTCCAACCAGCTTCTCCTTTGGCCTGCCTCACTTTCAGCGGGTCTCACCAACCCCTCAAATTGCTTGTTCACATAAATTTTAGATGAGGCTTGAGTGTTTTACCGTCCGTCTCTCTCTCTCTCTCCCTTCCCCCTCTCTCTCTCTCTTGCTCAGTTCTTCAAGAGGCAGTGAGCACCAGAGACCCGGAGCTGGTGCGTCTCGTGCTCCAGTACCGTGACTACCAGAGGACCGCCAAGAGGCTGGCGGGCATCCCCGTCCTGCTAGAGCGACTGCGACAAGTGGGATTTCACACACACATAAAACCTCTAAGGACCGCACACACACACACAGATGCAAAGGGGGAAAAAAAGCTGTTCACATTTCTTAGATGTCATTCATGCACAAACTTCAAATAAATACGCTTTCGTCTAAACTGTAGACGTGTCATTTTCAGCCCGAGGTATTCTTTTTGAAGGTATTTATAACTTTGTTTACTATTCAACAAGGGAGACACGCCAAAAGGATCTGTCTTCGTGCTGCACATATCCGAGTCTCTGGGTAATCAGACTCATAGTTGCTCCTGGAGGAGGAAGTACTTTTATGATTAGAGGCACAGCAGCTTTAGTGATGAAGCTAAGGTGGCCCATGCAGGAAGATGATGGTCAAACTCCTGCAGCAGCAGCAGCGGGTCYTCTCGCTGCTCTTGTGTTCCTGCTCCAATGCTCTTTCCTTTGACACACACAGAAAACGCTCCACGCTCTTGTGGCAGACACAATACTTCACTCTCTGCGAATGTGCTTAACTCACATCACAGAGGCAGCTCCCCCACACCTCTGCCTCCTCCAACTGTCATTTTATTGGTTCTGTAGTTGTTTTGACTTATTAGAGTTGACTGGTTTTTTAAGTCTTTTTTCTCTCTCTCTCTTTGTTGTTCTCTCATTCTTTTTCTTTTCTTCATCTCATCTGCTTCTTGGTTCAGGCCCAAGACTTCTACGTGGAAATGAAGTGGGAGTTTACAAGCTGGGGTGAGTCCTTGTTAAACCAGTTTAGACTCAGTAAATGCAGGCAGGAACCAACCAGTCACAACTGATCTTCTTGTACCCTTGATGTGAAAGTCCCGCCTACTTACCCTTCCAACATGCTAACAGGATATTTTGTTGTCAGTCGTGTGACGTGAGTTTATTTTTTTTTTTTTATGTCAGATAGAAGTCATTGAGGCTGTCTCAATTCAGGGGTTGCAGCCCACTGAGACCACACCCTTCAAAATCAGGGTGTGCTGTGTATAGCGGTTGTTAAACCATGCACTAGCCCCTTACCATAGTTACGTTTTACATCACATCAGCCATAAATGCTTAAAACTTAAAATGCGTTGGAACATTTATTCACACATCTTTTCTTAGAAGGAATAACTTCACAAAATTTAATGTGTTTTTTTTTATGTTAAATGTAAATAAATAAAAAAACATTAATAATTTGTGTTTAGCTCCAGTATCAGCACTATGGCTTTATAATTCTATTGTAGGAAAACCCATGTTCAATGAATTGGAAGTCAGAAGAAGTTAGCAGAAACCCAGTTGATTCTCTTCTAAAATGTTTATTCAAAATCTGACTCCATTAAAGACCCCCCAGTCAGGCAGCAGCAGCTCTGTGAGTCAAAAGGCCTTGGTGGTTATCAAAATAATAATAATAAAAAACAACAACCTTAGTAGCCGGCCTCTGTCCCCAGCTGTTCTATGAGAAGACTGCCTAATGATTAATGAATCACGTTCTTAAAGTAACGTCACACACCTGGAAAGGTGGGACCTTTTACATAAACCYACTTTGTTTTTATTACAGAGGCCTCATATTGATAAGACACACTGACTCTCTTCCTCTATTTAACGTACATGGCTGAAAAAACAAGACTGCATCTTAAACTCAGTTAATCAGTCACAAAATGTACTTCAGTGTTGTAAAACATTCCTTTAATGTATAATTGCTATTGAAGTTTTTAATTTATTGTATTTTGGTTCATTGTTTGTGTTCATTGTGATACAATTGTCTGCTCAAGATGGGTTTTGTATTTGGACATAAGCCAGTATGATTTGTACAAGTAAAAAAAAAAAGTACAAAAGTTCCAGTATTAGTAATGGTAATGTCCTGTTATTTAACATCACATTGAAGCATAAATTTCTTTAGCTTAGTTGCTATACAATTAATTCTTTGGTCTATAATGACTTTCAAACTCTGCCTTTTATGATTTTCTTAAAAATGGATGACGACACAATGAAGCCTGGGATATCATCGACTGCAAAGGYTATTCAGATGCAGCAAGGGTTATTTTTAAAACCAGAAGTATGCCCCATTTGTTTACAGGAAGGGGCGGGACCTAAGAATTGTACTGAAACCAGCCACTAGGGGGTGCTCATCCTATGTGGCTTTAGCTTTCAGCTTCTGGGGTCTCATTTATAAAGGATTGCGTGGAAACCATACTAAAAGTGAACGTACGGCCAAAAGGCGGAAATTGCGTACGCCAAAAAAAAATTCAGATTTATAAAACCGTACGTACTGTACGCACGTTTCTGCGCATCTTTCCTTTATAAATCACAGCTGCACGTCAGAGTTTGCGCACGAGGTCCCGCCTCATGTTCTACCCTCTACACGCCCACACTCAACCATAAACAGTCAATGTAAAGTACCTCATGAATGCTAAGATGTATTTAAATCAGTCAGCTGATCAATGTCAACAAAAGTGATTGGTTCAGACACGCTCCGTCGTGCCTCTGGAGGTTGACAGGTGCTGACTGACAGCTGCTCACGTGAACAGAATGTCTGTAATTGACACAGATTTTCCCTCATTTTGCTTTAGAGTAAACTAACGATTTTTATTTAAAAAACAAACTCAGCTCCAAAATGTTTTTCTCTCAGAGCCTGCAGGACGATAAAAACAATAAAAATCGAATTAAATAAATCAAATTAAATTAGAAATAGGTCTACCGCTCTTCTCCTCGTCCTCTCCCCATCCTGCCTGCTCTGTTATCCACGGCAGACACCCCCGCTGCGCGCGCGCGCGCA